TAAGTTGGTTGTAGCACAGTTTTTTTTCTTGTCTATAAAGCATTTAACCCCCCTGTACACAACTCATTCCTTTTGAAGAAAAAAAAATTGACATGTAAGGCTGTGTAAGATTTGTTTTTAAACTGTACAGTGTCTTTTTTTGTATAGTTAACACACTACCGAATGTGTCTTTAGATAGCCCCGTCCTGGTGGTATTTTCAATAGCCACTAACCTTGCCTGGTACAGTATGGGGGTTGTAAATTGGCATGGAAATTGAAAGCAGATTCTTGTTGGTGCACAGCACAAATTAGTTATATATGGGGATGGTAGGTTTTGTGTGTGTTTTTTTTTTCATCTTCAGTTGTCTGATGCAGCTCATACAAAATAATTGTTCTGTTAACTGAATACCACTCTGTAATTGCAAAAAAAGAAAGAAAAAAAAGTTGCAGCTATTTTGTTGACATTCTGAATGCTTCTAAGTAAATACAATTTTTTTTATAAAAAAATAATCTTTTTATTGTGATTTTAATGAAAGTTTACAAAAAACTTGGATTTCCATTTCTTTATTACTGCACATTTTCCTCCCTACCCACCCCTACCCCAATTCACTTTCCTCTTTAAAAAAATGTGTTCACTGTTGCACAGTTCCCACCCCCAGGCCACTCTGTTTTGCACCTCTTATTCTGGATTGTTGTCATGTAAATAATGCCTAATCATATATTTATTTTAAGCAATTCTTTCCCTCATCTGTTTCAATGCAGTGTTCATTATTTACCCCCTCTTTTCTTAGTTTTCCTGCAAACCCCATGTAAGTCCTGTTTAGTAACAATTGCATTATGCAGTATTTGTCCTTTTGTGACTGAGATATTTCACTCAGATCATGTCCTCCAGGGTCACCCATTTTGTATAATGTTTTATGAGTTCCTTGTTTTTCAGTGCTGTGTAGTATTACATTATGTGAATATATCACAGCATCTCTATCCACTCATTTGTTGATGGACACTTGGGTTGTTTCCATCTCTTTAATATTGTGAACAATGCAGCAGAAAACATGGGTGTGAATATGTCTGTTTGGGTGGCAGCTGATTTCTTTAGGTATATTCCCAGGAGTGGAATTGCTGGGTCAAAAGTTATTTCTATTTCCAATTTTTTGAGAAAGTGCCATACTGCCTTCCATAGTGGTTGCCCTGTTGTACACCAGCTGTTGCTTTTAAATGATTGCCATGAAGTTAGTTATAACTCACGGTGACCGTATGTGTTACAGCGCAGACATGCTCCCTAGGATTTCCTGGTGGTAATCATTGGTAGTAGTTGAAGTAGCTCACCACGCTTTCCTTCCTAGACTCCTCTTGGTATATGTTGTCTAGTTGACTACAACTCGTAGTCACCCTGTGAACGACAGATTTGAACCTTTCCCTTTCCTGCACCATCCTCACAATCTCTGCCATACTTGAACCGATGGTTATAGTTATTACGTATTCCATTTTGTTGAAGGTCTTCCTCTTTCTCTGACCCTCTACTTTTCTCAAAATGATGTCTTTTCCCAGCAACTGGCCCCTTTTGACAACATGCTCAAAGTATGTGAGACAAAGTTTCATCATCTTTCCCCTAGGGAGTATACTGGTTGTTTCCTCCCAGACACATTGGTCTGTTCTTTTAGCAATCCACAGTATAACCAATATACTTCTCCCTAGGACCACAGTCCAAAGCCATAGAATCCTCTTCAGTCTTCCTTATTCACTGTCCAACTTCCAGATGCATAGGAAGAAATACCATAGCATATATCAGGCACATGTTTAAACTAATGTCCTTGCTCTTTAGCATTTTAAAGAGGTCTTTTCTCTCATCAAACAGCTGGTGGGTTCAAACCATTTCCAGCCTTCCAACTGAGTGCTTGACCACTTGTACCACCAGGGCTCCTTGGGCTAGCAAGGTCTTTACAGTAACCATGCTTACCTCTAACGGGGTTGCCCCACTGCTGAATTTTTGTTTAGCAGCCATATTCTCCTACATTCATACTCTTTCTACCTAATAACATAGAGGGAGCTCTGGTGGCCTAGTGGCAAGAGGCTGTGCTACAATCCCGAAGGCACGGGGTTTGAGGCCACCAGCTGGTCTGTGGGAGGAGAATGGGCAATCTCCTCCTGTGCGATTAACTGCCCGTGAAAATCCTCTGGAGAGTCAGCTATGGGTCGATTCTAACTGGGTGGTACACAACAACAATAACATAGCTGTTAGATTCCTTGTTAGCCAGCTAGGCCTTCAGGTTAGTTCTTTGACAATCTCAATAATTTCATTTAAATTGATAAACATTATCTAGCACATTTCTGTGTCTCCCTGCTGTTAGGGGTGACATGATCAGTTGTATAGGTTACTTAAGTTTATGATATCTGCAAGGTACCTGGATTATCATGATGTGCTTGTTCCAAAGCCCAGGAGGAGAGTGACCGGTGGGGCTCCTGGCAGTTAAGATTGCTGATGAAAAAGCAAGAGAAAAGATGGGAACTGATTTCTTTTTCTTCTTGTCCTCCTCAGGTGAGCCCTTTTCTCAAGAGGAAATGGAAGAAATGCTATCTGCTGCAATTGATCCGGAATCTAACGCAGTTAATTACAAGGAATACGTAACAATGATGGTGGTGGAGGAAAACTAAGTGCTCCACAGACTTGATTTCTAATCCGAAGTGTTGTTTTGTCCTTGTTAATTTGCCTTGTAATTCCTACATCTGAGAACTAATACCCTTCAACATAACCATTTCAAGAGGTTTTGTTTTTAAAGATCCTTACAATTTAAAGCATAAATATATTTAGTATGTTTAGCCTATGAAACAATTGTTAATTATATAAATACTATTCTTAAACCATTTTCTCTTTACCCATGAATGATTGTTCATTTTCTATAATAACATCCATGTTGTCATCAAATTAATGAAACTGACAAAATGAATGACCGGGCAAGGTTAGACATAAAAGGTCTTTGGATGGGCCATGAGAACTGCAGATTGAACACTGTAGGGAGTTGATGAAGTCTCCTTTTTTTTAAAATAATAATAAAATTCTTATTTTAATTGTGATCTGAATGAATGTTTACAGAAGTTTACTTTTTTAAAATACCAAAAATATCTCAGCAATCTGAATGTAGGAGAGAGCTTTGAAATTAATATTAATAATTTATTTTTTAAGCACCAACTACACTTTCTTATACACATTAATTTTTGAGATCATAGTAAAACATTTTACTTTGCTGGTTCAGCATGTTACTTTTATGGAATAGCTAAGGAAGGTTGTGGTAATTGAATCTAGAAAAAGAAGACGGAGTCAAAATCGATAATGCCAAGTAGTGACAGCTGTCTCCAGACCTCTCACCTATTCAGAACATCCCTCTTAGAAACGTTGTCCCTGAATACTGACCAACAATATTGAAACATTTTCTGGTGTTCAGTAGCTATTGAAAAAGCACAGCAAAGCTAGCTATGCACAAGGAGTCAGAGTGGAAGAATGCACAGGGACTTAGAAACAAAGAGGAACATAAAGGAAGTCTCCCATGGCCTCCATGTGACTTCATATGACACAATACACACACTGTGATCTCTGTTTAAAGATGACTTCACCAGTTATGCATGTATAGGTTGTTGTTGTTATATGCCATTAAGTCGTCACCTGTGACTCTTAGCAACCCTATGTACAACAGCTCTGAACCCTGCTCTATCCTGAGCAACCTTATTGTCTCTGACACTCCTACCCCCATCACCCCAGTCACTGAGTCAATCCATCTCTTCAAGCGTCCTCTCCTGCTCTGTCCTTCCACACTCCCAAACATGACGTCTCTCTCTCCAAGGACTGGTCCCACCTTGTAACCTGCCCAAAGTATGTCAGAAGGAGTTTCAGAATCCTTGCCTCCAAGGAGCAGCCAGATTTCACTCTCTCCAGGACGGACTTGTTTGTTCTCATGGAAGTCCAATACAATACTCCAGCACCACAGCTCCAAGACATCAATTCTACAATCACTCCTAGTTATTGTCCAGATTTCTGATACATAGCACGTAATTATGAAGACCATGGTCTGGATCAGGTACACCTTAGTCTCTAGACTGACATTGTTGCTCTTCAGTACTTTGGAGAGGTCCCTGAAAGTAGACTTTCCCAATGCAATAAGTCTTTTGACTTCTGGCTGCTGTTACCAAGAGTGTTGATTGTGGAGCCAAGCAAACGGAAGCTGTTAACAATCTCAGTCTCTTCATCTTCTGTCATGTTGCTGCTAATCAGCCCAGTGGTCAGAAATCTTTAGTTTTGCATATAAACATTTACTGTCACTTGTTGTTTTTTTTTTGATGGATTTTTTTTTTATTATTATTAAATTTTATTAGTTTCAATGAACATTCACAGGGATTCTGGGCTTTCACTCCTTCATTGCTGCACCATTCTCTCCACCCTCCTCCCCAGTTTGTTCTTCTTCCCCACCATCCGAATGTCTGTTTTAATTGTCCAATTGCCACAGTGCTTGTCAAAGCCAGTTCTGATTAATCTCCTTTGTCAGTGTGTCCTTTGCCATTCCCTATCACTCCTCCCTGAGAGAGACTTCACCCTGATTCATAAGGAAAAGGGGATGGTGTATTCTCTTAGCTACTTCCTGCTGAAAAGGGACGCTGTGGGTTTCAGGGTGAAGATCTTCTCTCACTACTCTAAAGGGCCCCTTTGGCAGTAGGAAACACATAGACTATTATGGAGATTGATTTTGGAATTTAGATGCACTCTTATTGATTGTGCTTGGCCGTACATGTTCATATCCTTGAAGATGTATCATGGGGGTGAGATGCAAATCAAGACAACCATGAGATATCATCTCACTCCAGTAAGACTAGCAAAATTTAACAGAACAGCAAGCAACAAATGCTGGCGAGGTTGTGGAGAGACTGGAACCCTTATTCACTGTTGGTGGGAGTGTAAAATGGTGCAACCACTGTGGAAAGCATTGTGGTGCTTTCTCAAAAAGTTGCAAATAAAGATACCATTTGACCCAGCAATTCCACTACTGGGAATATACCCTAAAGAGACCATAAATGACATCCAAGTAGATATATGTATACCCATGTTTATCGCGGCTTTGTTTACAATAGCAAGGAGTTGGAAACAACCTAAATGCCCATCAACAAACGAATGGGTAGAGAAGCTGTGGTATATTCGCACAATGGAATACTATGCTGCATTGAAAAACAAGGAACTCATGCAATATTATTCAAAATGGGTGACCCTGGAGGACATTATGCTGAGTGAGGTATCTCAGTCACAAAGGGACAAATGCTATATGGTGCCACTGTTGTAGAATGAGGCTGGCATTGGGGTGGGGGTAAGACTGAGAAAAACTGGATGAAATATGTTTACGGCATTGAAGTCTATGGGGGAGAGAATAGTCTAAAAGTATTATATTTTAGGGCATTATTTTTATCGTAGGAGTATGCAATGAGGGTTGCAGAGTGGATTATATTTGGGGGCAGGGGATGGGGTTTGGGGAGGGGCAGGGGGGGGATTGGGTACCAATGAGCTAGTTTTTCTTCTGCTTTTCAAGGAGAGGAGCAAACGGGGGGGGGAGGGGAGAGGGGTTTGTGTGGGAATGGAATCCCAAAATATCTGTAGATGTTCATTGAAATGAAAAATAACCTAAATTTAAAAAAGAAAAATGAGCAGTTTACGCAGTGTGTGGAGGAACACAGAATGTTCCAGCAGGACAGTAGCAAGTACCAGAAACTCAGCAGTGCAGGAAATATGGAAAACCTGAGTTCAAAGTTCAATGTTTAGTATGATTGATGTGTACATTGGGAAAGGTGATGAGAGATGAAATTGGAATGGTAGAAAGAAGCTGCATCAATAAGGATCTTAACCTAAGTGTAGAGTTAGGAGTTTAGCTTTGGAGTTTGGGCTTCATCAGAAAGATGTTAGAGAGGAGTGAACATTCTCAGAAAGAAAGATCCCTTGTAAACAACATGGGATATAAATTTGAAGAACCAAGGCTGGAGGTGAAGAGAAGCTAATAGATTGGTTGGGTGGTGGGAGAAAGATTAAGAAAGATCCAGCATGAATTCTAGATTTCTGGTTTGGACAACAGGTGAGTGGTAGGTCCTCTATTTCATTCAGACGTAAGATCCAAGGAGCGAGTGCAGGGAGTGGTAGGACACCCAGGGAAAGGCTTCCAGTAATTCATTAGATAAATAGGTAGGAGGTCCGGTAAAAGTGTAGATTTTGGAATTCTACCTAGAAGTCATTTCTGTTAAATATAGAATCAGGAGGAACATCAGCTTTTAAGGGAGGTCAGAGGAAGAGGAGTCCACAAACATCCACATAGAGCAGCCCGGGAGGAGGAAACGCAGCAGAGGTGGGTGCATTTGGAAGCCAAGGGAGAAGTGTCACAAGGCAATAACTAAGTTTGCTAAATGTTGTGGAGAGAAGGAAGTTGAACACTGGGAGAAAGTGTCCATTAATTTGAACTCATTGTCGGCCTCAGTTGGAGCAGATAGGAGGAACTGACAGGATTCAGAATGCAGTTAGCTGAGTAACAAATAGATGTGAGAAAGTCTAACATGGAGGGTAGGTTCCCGGGCCGTGAAGGGAAGCGTGGTGGAGACTGCTGGAGAGAGGCCGAGGTTGAAGCGGTCTTTTGGAAGGTAGGGGGCGTGCTGTGTTGGCAGGCACTTTTGAGTCACCTCTGCTCTGTACGACAGAGCACAGTAGTCCCTGCTCCTGTGCCAACCTCAGTCATTGCTGTGCTCGGGCCCGCTGCTGCGGCCACTATGTCACTCTGTCTCTTGAGTTTAACTGTCTTTCTCCAGGAACTGACCCCTCCTGGTAACATGCCCTGAGTGTGTGGGACAAAGGCAGGCATTCAAGTACATTGGTGTGCTAAGGGCTGAAAGCCAGCATGTAAGTTGAAGACTCTTAATGGAAGGAGATAGATTCCAGCACAAAAAGGTATTGGCTTTGGGATGTTGTCAGGTGCCGTTGAGCTGCCTCCAACTTACCCTCTGCACAACAAAGGATAGCTCCGTCACAGATGTGCCATCCGCACCATCTCTGCTGTGCTTAACCCCAGTGTTGCCATCACGGTGTCCGCCCGTCTTGTTGGGGGTCATCTTTTTTACTGACCTCCTCCTTCTCCAAAGCATGATGCCCTTCTCCAGGGGTCTTTTGGCAGTGTATAGTTTAGCCCATATTCTTAGCCAACAGCACAATTCAAAGGCACCAGTCCGTGCTCTGCATTCATTGTCTTACTTTCACATGCATATGAAGCAACCAGAAACGCCTTATCTGGGTCAAGTACACTTTAGTCATTAAAATGACACCTTTGCTCTTTTAGTACATTAGAGAGGTCCTAGGGCAGCAGATCTGCCCATTTCAACATGTCGTTTGATTTGCTGACTGCTATATGAAATCCTAGACAGCGTCAATCTTTTCTACATTTACTATGATGTTGTTTGTTGGTCTGTTTGAGCGGATTTTGTTTTCTTTATGTTAAGGCACAATCCATGCTGAAAGCTATAATCTCTGAGCTTCATCAGCAAATGCTTCAAGATGTCTTCATTTTTAGCAAGTGAGAGTGTGCCATCTGCATATTGCAAGTTGTTGATGAGCCTTCCTCCCATGAAAGCCCAGTGCACGCTTT